TCAAATATCTCACAACACACACATACATGCCTTGAATTATGTCTGCTATACGCAGCATGAAACCCACATCAAAACTAAAAAGGAATAAATAGCGATGGAGAATGACAAAACCCAATAGAGAACAGGATAAGAAAAACAACAAAAAACCTTCCTTTACCTGCCACCCGTGAGTGTATGAGTGTGTGTGTGTGTTCTGCCTTGCACGGCAATGGAGAAAATACTGGAGAGGCTGAGCAATGAGGGAGGGAGAGGAGGAAAACAGGAGGGGAAGAGGAGGGGGTGAGATGTGTGACGGAGGGGGGGGAGGGGAGATGACTCAGAAGGGAGATGGAGAGAAGAAGATGAGTGTTAATTAAAAGAGGAGAAGATGGACCAAGGGTTTGGATGAAGGGATAAGGACAGGGTGCAGAGGCTCCATGTCCGACTGTGGTGGTAAAAATAGATGATGGGTGGACAGCTTCTTGTCTCCCAGTGTCTCAGTGTCTTTCTCTACTGCTGTAGTGGGGTTCAGTCCGTATGCATGCGGTTATATAATCCATCTTCTCCATGCTCAGACATGATGATCCTCTGTATGAATATGTCTCTGCTACCCTGAGAATGAATTAGGGAAATTTTACTTCCTACTGTGAAAGGAAGGGAAGGTTTACTTTAAGGTGAAGGTCAGAGTAAAGGTTGATTTTTCAATGTTGCTGAATTAACTCCAAAATCATAAACAAACAACATCTCCTCTCCTTGTGTTGGTGGCTGTGCGGCTGTGACCTTTTATTTATAAAACGAACCCATTTTTCATCCAGGTGGTCACAGTGTGAGAGCTCAAAAATGTAGGAGAACAAAATGTATATATGCTAAATTTTTATCATTGTGATTTTAAGGATGAACAGATAATGGATGGATGGAAATTGTTTAGAATTATAAAATGTAATATATTTGGAAAGAACTGATCTGCATACACAGCTGCATATATATGAAACTCTGCGCCTGACTCTTGGCAAGTTGTCGTCACTGTTGGACAAAAGCTTTGTTTCTTAATTTAGTCAGTTTTGTTATCTTGTGAAAATCAACTGTATCAGTTTTCACATCTTTCTGGGGTTCATTAGCACATTTAACTTGAAAAATATCAAAAAAGAGCAACTGGCTTTTAAATAACATGAATTCACATTCCACTTTCACTCACTCTTCACTTTATTAAAAACACTTTACTAACATCTAGGTTGTTTTGTTGTTCTGTGAACTATTTCATGTGGAATAGATTCAACAACATGTGCCAAATATTTCTCAGAGATTTGAACTCACATTGACTCATACTGAGCCATATTGACACTGTAACAGAACACAATGGCTACAGATTTAGATCTGATCAGATCACTGAGGAAAACCTTCTATTGGACTGAGATCTAGCAGCTGCCCAAGCTTATGGGTTAGGGTTAGGTCCTTTGACATTTGACTTCAATAAATCCTTTTCATACATAAGTCACTGGATATATTCTCTTTTTAGGACTATCCTCTGAAAAAGTAGAAGAATATTCAGACCAGATCATGCAGGGTGATATTGTTACACATTGACAGGGAAAAAGGGTGAATGAAACCAGTGTGTTCTTGGTATGTGTGGATGTGTTTATCTCCTAACTGTATGCCATTTTGTTCACCTGTGTATTTTTGTGACAATGCAAGTGTGTAAGTGTGCCAATATCACTGCAAAACAGTGATATGTTTTTGTGTGTAGGCATACATGAGTGTGAGTGTGCAAGAGTGTGAGATAATCTGTAATTAAATTCCTGAGTTTAATGGGATTATCTAAGGGAGACAAGCAGCACTGTGTCCTTGACATCCATCCCCCGGTTAGCCACAGCCAAGCAGCTGACAGACACGCACACAGACATTTGGGGGGAAATAGAAAGAAACAGCAAGACAAAAAAAGTAGCAAAGTAAAAAAAGAGAATTACTAGAAATCAAAAGAGCACAATGAAAACCTTGTGAAGATATGAGAACAAAGGCCTTCCAGGGGGAGGGTAAAAAACAAGTGACTCTCATTGTAATTATCTCATTTTCTGTTGCGTTACACCGAAGGTCGACTGGCCTTCCTCTCAGCAAGGTTCCCCTCCACCGACAGCACAAACTGACAGCCAGGTCAACCAACACAAATAGTCAAATCACGAACACAAAAAGAATTAGGTTACTTTGACAATATTTCACATGGAATAACTATTTCCTAATCTATAAGATTTTTTTATTCATGGTTGATTGTTTAGTTTTAAAAAAAATTAATCATCCCCAATCTTGTTTGTGGTTTTCATATATATCTATATCTCATGTCATATGTATATAGATGGGCGCCTTCTTTAAATACCTCAGATTTTCATCTTTTTGTCTTTCAAATTTTTTTATTTTTTTTTTAAATATTTACACAAAGACCTTAAGCCAGCATCCAGAGGAGCAGTTCACAGATTTAGTTCCATTATCCTCCGGACTACGAGAAAAAATAAAGATTGTCTAATCATTCTGTGAAGTAAAAATTGTGTTATTTCTTTTAAGAATTTTACTTTAATTCTTTAGTCATTTAACACTAGTATTGTTTAGTCTGTTAAACCGTGTAGGTCAAGGAGTCTTTGAAGAATCAGTTAGATAGGTTTCCTTTTGACTTCTCCCTGGAAAAGTTCCAGTAGGTTGTCAGTAACTAAAATAAGGCGCCAGTGTTTGTTAACAGATAACAATAAACAGGTTAGGTAATTATAGTGAGATGGAATAAACCCTAAGGCTTAACAAATTCCTCCATTAATTGTCACAAGCTAAGGCTACGTGCTGAGTGCACATACAAAGTCTGATAATGTTCTTGTTATGCAAAATTGTTCCATTAGTAAACCTGATTTTTGAAAATGCACCTACTTTTTGAACAAAGATGTTTATCATCTGAACAATTAACTTACCCTAAGAATGGATGCTGCATTCTCTCTATACCCTGTTAAGAGTGACTGTGCATTAACCTGTTCGACTGGCTCTGGGCCAGGGAGTGACCACATCGTATAGAGAGTCCTATATATTGTGATAGCTTGCAGCTCCAAGTCAGAAGTCATTGTAGGTACAGCTGTTGTGTTGTGGTTACTGTGTGTTCTCCGTTTGCAAATGACTGAAATAAAGATTTTGCTCTTTGCCATTTACCAGAGTCTCAAGCCTGATCTGTTACTACAGATTAGATATTGTTTTTTCCACAATTCTTTTTTTTAAGAATTCCCAATTCTTTGGAATAATTTTTATTTTTGAGGCATCCATTCCAGTGGACATAGGAATGTCATACAATTGAAACTAGACTTTGAAGATGATCATTAAATTCTAAAGGAAAATACAAGTTAACATAAGATTAAATGAAACTTTTAAATCACTGCTTATTCTATATGCAAACTCAAAAGAGTAAACAGGAGCACTTTGAATGAAACTCTAATCCCTATTTTGTGCATTTATACTGAGGTACGGTGCAGCTGCAGAACTTTTCCATTTTACTTTTTTGCTGTCGCAAAGTTGTTATGATGCGTAATTGTGGCAATTATTTTTGTTTTTCCACCCAAGAGTAATCAATTATTTTGAAAGCTCAAATAATACCTAAATTATATCTCCATCACACTGAGGAGTTGAAAATGAAGCTTCATTGATGCAGAACAGAACCAAAGAGCAGAGAGCAGAGGAAATTCAAGCTATCTCATCCATTGATCATAATGGGAGATATTCCATATCTCCTATTCCAAACCCCAACATCTCCCTGCCTGGGTTTTTAACCACACAGGCAGACAGAGATTTAAAGAGATGTGGCAAAAGCAAAGGAGGTGGATTGGGAGTGTCATCAAAGAAATGCTACTCTGGAATATTATTTCTGGTGCCTGAAAATTGAGCTGTTTCAGTCATGAGATTCATACTGTGACAGTCTTCATATTCATAGCAAAACTGACTGCTACTTGATGTACTTCTTGCCCACAGACATCACCATTCACTATGACTCTTTGTAGCTGTGGTTGATTTGAGTTAAAACACTTAATGTACCATTGAGATAAATTACCAGTCTTTGAATTGAAATTGACTTGAATTGGTTTTAATCATGTTCCATATAACCTTTGACTGCTTTTAGATTCATTTCAGTAAGAATTGGAGAATAAGACTATGGAGAAAGATATCTGCGCTTCCCTCCTGGTTCAGTTACCCTTTTGTTAAGTCACAATAACTGAAAACATAAAATTAATATTCATCAATTATGCAACTCAACAACATAACTCAGAATGCTCACATAAATTAAATCTCAGATGCCTAATTCTTCCTGTAAGGCTGATTATACATATTATCTTTGAATTTGACACTTTTGCGGATCATATTTTTGAAACATTATAACTGTGAACATTCTTTGTGTTTTAGATATCATTTTATTGCCACTCTGTTATAAATTTATGTTGCATTTTTCAAGCAAAAAACTGCAGAAAAACCAGACTTGAAACAAATAAAGTTTGACATTTATCGCCCTCTATTGGTCAATGAGAAAATTTTTTCTCTCTCAATAAGTGCTCAGTATTGTTAGCATTAATGACGTACATATATGTAATTATGTGATAGAAAATTCTGCTTTTCAGGGACTGCTTATTGAAAGATATTGATTGGCGGAATTCCTAATATTTTGCCGATAGTGTAGTTGCAGCAAACGTCACTTTAAAAATAAATTCCAGAAGAAATAAGATTGATAGATGTTTTTTTTCTCTAGTTAGATAGCACAGCCTGAGAGGTGTAACTGAAGAACCTGTTTGAAAATGTCCTTTAAATGAAGCAAAACAAAAACGTAAAGTCTTTATACGTTTGTTAAAAAAAAGTGTTCTTGTAATCTGTTATAAATTTTTTTATTATTATTATGTTGAATTATTTTTTTAAATTGTCTTAAAAAATATTACTAAATAAAATTGAAACTGAAGCATACAGCGTAACTGACGTAAACGTATACAGAAAAAATTCCAGGCGTGCCTGAACACAATCCAATTCATTTGTCCGACTTCCCGAGCAGGAGGAAATGGGATTTCCAGGAAGGAATTGAACGCACCACACCAGTCGGAACACTCCAGCGGTGGTAATCGGACAAGGTAAGAGCTACAGCTTAAAAACCTGTAGTCTTGCGACTTTAAATGAAGAAGTATATTTAAGGAAACAACCATAACTTTTGGTGTAACTTGTTCTACTGTAATAGTTGTGCCGGCTAGTCGGTTGAAAACTAATTCTGTTAACCCGCAGCTGTCAAAACAAACTACTTCCTTTGGCTAAGTTTATGCTAGCAGCGGTGTTAAATCTCTGCTCAGTTACCAAACCGAACAAGTAAATCAGCGCTGTTGCTGGCGAGATGAGTCGTCATTATACTTATATGTTTAGCTTTATATATTTCCCCCTTCTCGACTTTTCTGTTCTTCGTTCTTATTCTTTTTAACGGATAATATTGATTGTGGGCGTGGGGGGTTGGTTTACGTCAGTTTAGCTAACTTTAAAAATCAACACCCTGTTAAATATTACTTTCGTTTTAAAGCTACCGTCAGCAATCATTAACATCACTTTTATATCTTGTTTTATTTCTAAAAGTAACATCGTGTCTGTTGAGCCGACTCTGATTGTTCATCTATTCTTTCGATGCGGAAGTGACTAAGAAGAAGAAACTCAACCAAAAAATCTTAATCATTTAAAGGTTTTAGACATTTAAACACGTTTTAAATGAATGCTATAACGATCTGACATTGCGTGTACCTTCTTTTTTTAACGTTGTGTGTCAGAAGTGTAAATTAATTTATTCACTTGTTTAGTTGTTTGTTGTATGTAAAATGAAAGTGTTTTCCCATTTTGTTTTACTGAAAATCATTGTTTCAGTCCACCCTCTCTAGCTCCTGGCATATTGACAAGCTAAGTCAAAATGAAAGCATTACATTGCAGTTTGATCAGTAAAGACATAGCCATGAGTACAAAAGTCACTTGCTTGCCTATTACCACAGATTTCATTGGTAATTAACCACTGTTATTAGAGAACTGGTTGCAAATTCATTCATTAGACCAGTCAGGCTGTTTCTGGCCAACACAGATGCCTGGATTTTTATTTATTTATTTATTTTTTTGCCTTCTTACTTTCAGTTTGATTCAGTTTCTTTTTTTTCTAAGCATTAAAACTGTGTTTTTATTTTATAAATATAGAAATACTACCCACTTATGTGCAAAATTCAAACATTACTAGGTTATCATTATAGATCTCTCAAAACATATTTGTCTAACATTGTATAATGTTTATTTTACTAAGCTCAAAAAACATCAAAAATACTTGTATTTGTAGTTTTATACAATAAATGTTTGACTTACCTACCACAAATCAGAGCCAGAAAATCTGATTTCTGGCTGATTGATGGGTTTGTTTTTACAGTAAGCATAACAATCATAATTAGCAAAGGAAGACATTTTATTTTTCCTTCAAATTGGATGTATTATTTATATTTTAAGGATATTTAAATATCGTGTTGAATCTTTAATTTTTCAAATTATTTTGTCAGGAGAAATTCAGTTTGTTAAAAATCTTAAATAAGCTCTGTATGTCTGACTCTTTCTTAAATTGATGTTATCTCATTTTGTTGTGTAATTGTATGATGATTCTCACATGCCTTCACATGCAGAAGTATGTTCTACTCTTCCTTCTCATATAAATATGAAATTTAATACAAATAACACATTGTGTGCATCTAAAGCTGTAAGATTATTTCTGCTATTTAAAGACTTTCTTTATGATTTGATGGAATTTGGGATGGTTTAGATCTGTAACGAAAACAAGCACTTGATGTGTTTACTTTTTATACGTTTTGAAACCCATTTTTAAGATGTTCATTTCCAAATGACCTATTCTGAACCTGAAAAAAACAAAACAAAAACTCTTATCATTTGTTGAATCTTTTAAGGCTGGTGGCCAAACAAGACCAACTTGATGTCCCTGACAACAGTGTGTGCAAGAAGCAGAAGTGAATTGAAGGATCATGCTTGCCAATAATTGTTCATAAGTGTTTTCATGTGAATACAAATTACCTCTGAAGAATGTTTTCCTGACATTCCTGCAGCCAGTTACCGTGTGTCCCTGACTCATCAGGGTTTAGCTGAATGCTGCATACTGCCAAAATGACCCACACAAAGAGCCAGTGATGGAGTGGCAGCCCATAGCCCTATGCCATTGTCCCACCTAATGAACCAGCAGCCTGGGTATTCTAGCTGCTTGGTGTCTGGGTGGTCACAGGTTCTGCCTTCATTGTGTTGTAAACACTGCTGTACAGCGCAGCCACTGTTTCTGTCTACTTGTCTCGTAGTCAGTTCCTGCTCCTGGCATTCCTGTCAGGCATACTGATTTTATAGCTCATGGTTGTTATCTCATGGAAAAGAAGAAGCAGAAGGGCAGGCATTTTTTTCTTCAATTAGTTTAGTTGGGCATGTTCATTATGAAGATTACCCCTTTTCTAAGCTGTACCCATTAGCTTTGGAATGGAAAAAAGTACATATAGAGACCACACCTGTATTTAAGCCCCAGGTCTCCATGTTAAAATAGCCTACCAGGAAAGTCTAGTCATTATCTTTGTCTTCCTCCTGTGCACTAAAACCACTAAAGTCATGTTTTTAGTGTCAATATTGAACAGTCTCACACACTTCTTCAGTCTCTCTTTCACTGACTCTGAAAAGTCACTTTTGACTCGAGATCAATTCACTCTTAAGCTTGTGTTGTGCTTTTCTTCATGCAGCAGCCTGGTGGTAGTAACAACCTTTTCAGCCTGTCAAAGTAGGCTTTCTAATGAGCCATCATTTGATCTAGGTGTGTTATACCAGAGAGAGAACTAAAATGTGCAGGATGCTGACCCTTGAGGACCAACTTTGGGCACCACTGATCTAAACCATTCCATTTATCTCAAGCTGAATGTTTAGGACCACTGTGCAGGAGGAAGGTGAACCTCCACTTCAGTTGTCTTTTGGAGCTACTAACAGCTTTTCTTCCTCCATCTGGATATAGCTGTATTTTTAAACTTTGAATAGCTTCCATGAAGCATGCCCACAGCATGATGTAGCCACAACTATGTTTCACAATGTTGATGACATGTTCAGGGTGATGTTACTTTACTGGCACAAAGCATCTTGTATCTAGGTCAAAGTCTTGAATGTTGGTCTCCTCTGACCACAGCACCTTCTTCCACATATCTTCTGAGTCCCATGTATTGCTTCTGGAGTCTCATGAATTTATTTATTTCTGCTGTTTCTTAAAGGCCAGATTTGTAGGACGTACAATTCACAGGTGTCCCGTTGACTGGTTTCTCTTTGTAAAAATCTTTGAAAAGCATATGCTATTTTTCATCCACTTAGTTATGCATTGATCTTTGTGGTTGTGTGACAAAATGTCCCCCAAAAAAATCCAAGGGGTATGAATACCACTGTAGATTTGATCATGGTCTCATGTAATTTCTTTGCTTTACCTTTTTATCTGTGTAATCCTATTAATGTCTCCTCCTCAGATGCAGACTATAAAGTGTGTGGTAGTGGGTGACGGTGCTGTGGGGAAAACCTGCCTGCTCATCTCCTACACAACCAACAAGTTTCCCTCTGAATATGTACCAACCGTGAGTAACCAATAATAAAATACCACTTGTTGTACACTGTGAAGAGGCAAAAGCTGATGAATTGATATTTATAGAGCTACAGAAGCAGTTTTTTTTTTTTTTACCCTTAACACTGTAGCTCTTTCCTGGCACACAGGAAGTGATACTTGTTTACAGTGTCTGGACTGAGAAAACTAAATGAGCTTTTACCAGAACTCCAACCTTTATGAAACGGAAAGATATCACACTACAGCCAAACATGAATATAATGTTACATTTCACTGTAAGTTTATACAAGTGGTTGTTTTTCCCTCTAAACAAAATGTATCAGAAGTTTGCACAATTAAGCTGAAGACAGATCAGTGAGTTTCAACCCTTTCTGGCCGTGCAGCACCTGATTTAGCCTCCGTTTGTTGGTCGATCTGCAGAGGGCCTCAGTTTTATGGATCAGATTACTGCTGGGAGTGGTTCCAGAATAGTTCTTGTAATATTCCGGCACAAGTCAGACTGATCTTGCACACCTAAGTATGTATGCTGGCATTAACATAGACATCAACTTTCACTTTTATTATCAGTTCCTTAAACTAATTAGGTGTTTGCAAAGTGAGATCAAATTAGTTTTGTTCTTACGCTTTTTTATTTAAAAAATACAGTTTACACTCAGTTATATTATAAACAATTGAAAAATCCTAACCCTGGTATGATTTCATTTTAATGTATTCATTTTGGATTTAGGTGATTCTTGGTGGCAGTTTGTTTCACCTTATGAAATAAACCATGCATATGCTATTTGATTGTAAATATTGGAGCAGCCCCCTGCTGAGCAACAGAACCCTAATATTCTGCAGCTTTATGCAAAATGTGGTTCAGATTCTCTGCTGAGGATGCAAACACTGCATTCTGCCTCGTAACAAAAGAACAGCTGGCTTTAAGTTGGAAACATTCAGCATATAGGCAGCTTCTTCTCTTGGCACTTCTTGGCCCAGTTTGATGAGACGTTTGCAGAACCAGCAATGCTGACTCAAGTTTTACTTCTGTTTCTGTTAATCCTGCTTTTAGCACTGATTTATATACTTATGTAGCTTGTTTTCCCATAAAACTGCATCTTTATTTCTATATTAATTTATTTTGTCTACAATTTTTATGTAATACGATTCTTATCTCTCCAGTTTGTCAAATTGCATTTGCATTTTGGTCAGTTATGGTTTTATTGTTAGAGTTCTTATCACCTAAACAACATCCCCTTCCTGACAGTGTTTCTATTATTAGAAACAACCTTATTTTTCCACTTTATGATAAACCTTTTCATCTATATTTTCTTATAGCCTCCAGGGCGTCCAACGACAAGAACTTTTGAACAAGCATTTTATATTATCTCTTGCTTTCCATCTTTAGAAGAAGGCACAGCTGTAGCCTCGTCAACCGATTCATCTCAGCAAACACAGACAAACCTCCAGTTTCCTCTTTGATTCATTGTGTTGTTGCAGCTTCTTGCAATGTTGTTTCCTGTGAGTCATCTGACAATCACCACAGTAGGAGAGGTGATTTTCAAGGAGAGGGTGACTAAGTCTAACCCTCTCCTCAGAATTTACTGATTTATTGTTTTGTAGGGGTCTCTTGTGTCTTGATTTGGCATTATATATGAGTATCAACAGTACAAATGGTGTACCTTTTTAATATTAAGCTTTTTTCACTGTATCTGTTTTTGATTGGGTTGTTTGCCGGAGCTGCTGTAGTCTTAGCGTAATCCAAAAACGTGAACTGAAGTAGTCAACAAAGAGCAGCCCAAGAAATTACTCAAGTAAGAGTAAAAATGTATTTTAGAACACATCAGCCCTTTAATATTTAAACAGTACATCATGAGACAGACCAAAATAGTCAGGTGAAAATGTTGGTATTTTAAGAAGGAAAGTGAAAAGAACAATTAACAAATAACAAAATCAGAAAAAAGAAACATTTTTCAAAATAAATTTCTTTCGATGGAACTTTAACAAAAAATGCTAATCTGTGTCTGGTGAATTTTTGGTTAAAACAGACTTGTTCATTCAGTGAAATTACTCACAGAGGATCAGGTATCTAGAAATTTTACTCCAGTAAGAGTAATAATACTTCATAGTGAACTTACTCAAGAAAAAGTAAAATGGACCCCATAGTAAAAATTCTCCTAAAAGTAAATATTTTCCAAAAAGTTATTCAACTAAATGCAACTGAGTAGCTTGTTACTGCCCAACTCGGTGCCTAAGTATTCACACTACCAGACCTTTTCTACATTTGACAAAGCAAAAAACATATTTATATTTTTCTTCACTCCATTCTCTGAAACTGCTAAATTAAATCAGGTGCCTCAAGTTGTTATTCAGTAAGAGGTAATGGAAGAATTCTTGACGCCACATTTTTAGATTTTTATTTTAAAAGAAATGTGAAAACCTTGTATTGTTTTATGCTTGTCCACCCAGGTAAATTTCTGAGATTACGTTTAGAAAAAATACAGTCTAGGCCTCGGAGTATCCCGGCTTTACTTGTGTTTTACTGAAGTCAACATATTTCCCTTGCCTCGCCCCTCCACTCTGTTTCCTTTCCCTGTTTTTGTCCAAACATGTTGGTGTGATTCACCTCAGGCTGCCTTTCCAATTCAGCTTCTTGAACTGAACTAATGTGCATTTTCTGTTTTTTGGAAGTAATAATGGAACAAAATTAAGTAAATTTTGTTCATTATGCAAATAATGTCGGTCTATGTACAGTATTTGTAAATAGCCCAACATTTAACTCAATACTTTAAATAATATCAGAGCAAGACTTAGAAAAACTCCTGTTATTTATTAATTGTGAAGTACTTGACAACCCAGAACAAGAATCAAACGTGAAGAACCAATACTTAGATTTTTTTTTTTTTGTTACCCTTACCTTTGTTAGAAATAACTATTTTACCCTTTTAAATTTGTTACTCTAGAAGGCAGAGATACAAGTTTCTTCTCTGTTATTAAATTCCCAGTTTTAAGTGTTTTTTATTATTATTATTATTCTACAGCTCAGGCTTGGTAATAGCTAGTAAAATAACCAGTAAATACTGTTTATTACAATTAATTCACTATTTAACAAGGAAGGCATAATGTTTTTATGTTGGACTGCTTCTATTGTTCAAAGTACAAGATGGCATTTTGTTTTTACTTGTAGAATCTTTGTCTGATGTTAAAAATGATTTGATCTGATACTTAAACCAAAATGTCTGCAGGCTACAGCAAACAGCAGTAGGGCTGAGTGTTTGTTGAAGCTGTGCATTCCTGCTTTAGCTCATTTCCACTTTTGAAGAACTGATATTGCACACACATGTTGCAACTGCGCTGAATGTCAATGCGCATGGCAGCAGCCTGAGGATATGGCAGAAAAATGAGAAGAATAAGTCAGAGTCAACAAGCTCGTTCACCTGAGAAGCAGTTCACCACAATATCTTTAACTTTCCTTTTCAACGGTTTGCTGCTAGTGAACAGGATATTTGAAGCCAGTCTGTTCGACCCAGTCCACACAAAAAGAAAGCCTCACATGATTTCTGCTTGCATGAGGGTGGAGCTTCGTCAGAGCTGTAACACCACCTAACAAAGTGTATGTTAAAGTAAACAGGAAGTTTGTTTTGTTGCCGTGGAGATGACGCAGTCAACAAGATATTTAAAACACCCGCAGAGACACATCCCCATTTCACCTTCGTCTCAGATGCTGTGGTTCAAGTAGCTGGGCTGTTGCAGCTCATTGCTCAATGTCTCACACATTTTATGAAATTATTGGCTTCAGAGTCAGAGCATGGCTTTCTGTAGTATAGTTAAAGTAAGTTAAAAATGGTTCTTGCATTCAAACAGGTCAAAGAGTATTGTGTTATATTGCGAAACATCTCAGTACAGCTGCATGTTGATAAACTTTGCTTCATTTAATTATCCTGGAAAGCTGATCCTGAGTTTCTTTTTGTAAATGCATTTATTTATCCCAAAGTGAAACTAAATGTCCATCCAGTTATATTCAAAGCATCATTGTGATGCTGTAGGAAGGGAGGATCTCCAATAGCAGTAAGTCTTGCAACAAATCTGAAGAAACCTCTGGCTGAAGAGGTTGAAGACACTGTTGCTGTATGAAACACTCATGACAGTCAGTCAGAGACAACATTAGCAAGCACAGCTAATCCACCACATTTGCCACTTCGCTTTATATCTGTCTATATCTTTATATCTGAATTTTGATAGAGAATCTGGGCTGCAGTAAAGGAGAATAATGTTCAATGAATAAGATTGTTTTATTCATTGAACAATCTTCACTGAATAAAACATCTTGAATATGTTTGACATGGGAAAACAAAGTATGTTGGAAGGCATGACCTGTTTCTGCCACCTTTTCTAAAAATCTACTGTTTATTTACTTTCCATTTATTTGTGCATTCCATAGAAACAAATTTAATTCAGTCAAATGTCTTTATAAATAAGCCTTTCTTCAGCCCTCTTCCTGTTGTTTCTCACAATTTCTCTTCCCTTTTCCCAGGCTTCCTCTTAGCTTATTTTTAAGTCTGTTTCATCTTCTGGCCTGTTTCATGTCCAGGTCTTTGATAACTATGCTGTGACAGTGATGATCGGAGGGGAGCCGTACACCCTTGGACTGTTTGACACTGCAGGTGATAATAAATCTGCATATATATATAACCTTTTGCGATCGATAATTCAGGTGTTTTTAGCACCAAAAGTAACTTAAAAAATTAAAGGCAGTGCTGGTATTCATAGTGTAATTACCCTTTCTTTTAATGTTGAAGATTTAAATTAACTTGTGTTCTTCTTGTCACTATTTGTCTAATTATTTTTAGATTATCGTTTCAGTTTTAACTGTCTCTGTCTCCCCCTGCAGGTCAGGAGGACTATGATAGACTGCGACCCCTTAGCTACCCTCAAACAGACGTCTTCCTCGTCTGTTTCTCAGTCGTATCGCCTTCCTCCTTTGAAAACGTCAGAGAGAAGGTTGGTCACTTTAATTGTATAGTAATGGGCATTCTTCCTAATTTTAAAAATAATCATTTATTGAACTTATGCAAATATCACTTTTGCTACAATAGAATAGGTTGAAGTTCTCCTTTGAATAGTTACTGTTTTTTATTAATTTATTTAATTTTTAGTTTAGTTTTCTGGCAATCACAGAGTTAGGGTATATCTGCCAATATGATTAGCTTTGTTGTGATTTATCCTCCATATGCAGATGATTATAACTTTCTCCCAAAATTAAATTTGGATTTAGCAGCTCTGTAGCTGAGATTGGCTGTCGGTAGAACCAGTTGCTGTTACCTTAAGATTTTTCTTTAGTTTTTTTTTTTTTTTTTGCCAGTTGAATAAATAAATTTAAATGAAAGGTTGACTTTTTCTTCGTTTGAGGTTTTATCACCGCAAGAAAAGACAAATGTATTTTGAGGCTTTTTGTTTTGAGATATTTTCTACAAATATAAACAAATGGAGGTCACATTTTAAAAAGAAATAATCTAGCACATAACCTGATTCTAAATTTAGCTCTGACGTTTTTATTTTATTTAGTGTCACTTCTCGACTCTGCTTTTAGAACAAGATACTGTACAGCAGAACCAGTCATAAAGGCCTGGGGTTATAAATATAATCTAAATTTAGTTCATTGATTTAAATTTTTATATTTTTTTTAAACACAGTGGGTCCCTGAGATTTCTCACCACTGCCCGCGGACGCCCTTCCTGCTGGTTGGAACTCAGGTGGATTTAAGAGATGACAGCAACACAATGGAGAAGCTGGCCAAGAACAAACAACGACCTATGAGCTCTGAAAGCGGGGAGAAACTGGCGCGAGAGCTCAGAGCTGTCAAATATGTGGAGTGCTCAGCTCTGACGCAGGTAAATGGGAGGGAGGCAACTGGTTTTGATTGCAGATTCTCACTTCACCACCACTGCAGTCCAAAGCCCTTTCTGTTTCAATTGTGCCCAAGTTCTCTTCTCAACTATCCAAATACTGACAAACTATTTATAATTTGTCAATTTACTAATGCAGTTTGTGACTAAAGAATTAGGCCATGAAAGTAAAAAAATTACCAACTAGAGAAGGCCTCAGAGAAAATGGGGAGCCTGAGAATGGTGCCATATAACAAACTATTAATGATTATATTATAACATATGCCAAATATTTAAATACATGAATGTGTTTTTAAACACATTTGTAAGAAACTCTTATAAAGGCAGACTCTCCAGGCATAAACAGGTTGTTTATTACAACTCTGAGTACATTTCTTAACTTTTATACGAGACAGGACTTGTCAGGGAACGCTGCATGATCACATTTGCATTGCACAATGCCTGAAAGAGCAGGAAGTGTTCTTAAAGTCATTAAAACACATAAAAAAACATGCAATAGGGCCAATAAATCAGTCAAGTCCATGTTAGAGAAAACCTCTGCAAAAAATGCACAACCTCACATAGCACAAATGGCGAGGATCATTCAAGAATTTTTTTAAAAATTATTTTTATTTATGGATGTGAAATAGAGTGACAGTTGTATAATTTAGAAAGTAATTTCAGTTTTTCACTTGAAAATGCAAAAATGTCAATGATATCGGAGTGGAACTTAACTCATGATTTCAAAAAGCAACAATATTTCATATTAAAGTGTCACAAAGTGCTATCTTGCTGAGATTGTGAAGTGACTTTCTGAGGAAGTAAGGGTAAGATATTATAAGTCCTTGTGTCAGCTTTAACCTCAACACCTCGTATCTATTTATAAAACTCATTTTGAAGTAAGACAAGTTTTTTACATGTTTGATGAACCTCCCTCTACTTTTCAGTGTTTTGTTTCTGTGGAACCATTTTGGGTATTTTACAGAAACGGTGACAAACATGATACAAAAGTTTAACAACACTGAATCTGCTAAACTAAAGGGCTAATTCACAGTTTTTTGTTTTTTTTTAATGCGCATTATCATCTCCAGCTCACAATTTAAAATGGTTTTTCTGATCAAACCTGAACTGAATAATTCTACACTGAACCTAGCTTTTAAAATCCAGTTTAGTTAAACATCTTTAGGAAAACTAGAATTTTTGCACTGGTCAAATGTTGAGTGAAATGTTCTTCACTGATTACAAATAACCTCTGTGAAAACAAAAAGTATCATTAGAGAATCATTACTTTTCACAACAGTACTGCTAAAGTCTCACCCTTTTCTGAAGAGCCTGATATAACATCTTGTATGGGCGCCCAACAACTTTTAGATGCATCCTTTCTCCAACCTGCCTGAGTTTTACATTATTTTCTTTGTCATTGTTTTATTGCAGTGAAACTAATTGTCATGTTGTTTTCCTTACTCGTCCTACTAGGGCTGAAATGATTAGTCAGAATCATCGTAATCCATCAGTTATTAAAATAATTGTCAACTAATTTAGAAATTAGTTAACTGGAAAACACAGACTCAATATAAGACAATTTTGAGGAAAGAACCGAGAGCAGTAATTAAGCCTACACTGTCCAAAAATATACATACTGCATTTAAAATAATAAATAAAAACCTTCATAGACCTAAAACTCCTCAAGAGGTTTAGTATTAGCTCAACCCGGTTAAAATTCTGTAAAGAAAAATAAATAAACAGAAATCTCTTCTGAAGCATCTTTTGCTATTCGATTATTAATCAGCCAATCAAAAAAAAAAAAGAGTTTGCATTTTTCGATAATCAATAAATTAATCAATTTCTAAGATCATTACATCTTACCAATAATCTGTTTATTAAATCAAGGAATTTGCACCTTTAAAAAATGTTCTCTTTGTGTCTGATTTGTTTTTTGTTTTTTAGAGAGGGTTGAAGAATGTGTTTGATGAGGCCATCCTGGCAGCCCTGGAGCCCCCAGACATCAAACCCAAAAAGCGCTGCCTTCTCCTATAGAAACCTTCCGGAAGATGTGGAAGACGAGAAGCAGAAGAAGATGGAGGTGGACGAGGAAGAGATCAATCCTGTATGGGAACAGAGGGAGGGAGCACCAAGGGGAGGGGTGTAGACACATGTTTAAACAGTGCCTTCAGCCGTAGTGACCTAATATGGGTGTGGTGTTAAAGCTGACAGGCGCTTTATTTTCCTAGTAGATAAGTCGCTCTAACATGGTAAACATTTATGAACTACACTCCACACTAACAAGTAAACAGGATTTTCTTTTGTTAATGGGATGTGATGAACTGCAAGGCATGGATGGAGACAAGTTTACAGCTGAAATTGAAAACCAGTTCCTCATTTGGAGAAATATTTTAGCAATAAGGCACTGACTGTCTGCAGGAAATTAAAGAACTATATTATTAGTGTTTAAACACCTTCCTTTTTATGTGCTAGCTTTACTTCTCTGTACATCAAGTTTTATATGCATTCATTTTTTTTTCTGTCATAGATCTTTTCTAGCACCAAAAATGCATTTTGAATCCTTATATTTATTCAAAATAGCATCCTAAAAGGTTAGTAGAATCACAATAAGTGCTTTGCTTATGCCACTGTAATTCAAGGTAGTTTTTGGAGCAACTTAAGGCATTTCTAATATTAAAATATTTGCATCTACAATTATGTCTAAGTGAGTTAAAAAAAAAAACAATCTAATATGTTTTCAAACATAAAATATGTTTGGAAATGTTCAGTTTTCAAACACATTTTATGTTCACCAAATTTGGTCTTAAAATATTCTATGGCACTTAAGAATTTAAAACTGAATAATAAATAATTTACTTTTTATTCGTACAAAAAAAGAAACTGAAAACCTTGCCCTCAATCTGAACAAGTTATCTGGAGTAATGTAAGAACATGATGAGCAGGATCTGCAGGATTGTCCACACAGCAACAAAGAAAAGTTGGTATTTGACCAATGTGAAACAAACATGCATTTGAGACTTCAAAGGTTCTGTGACATCTTGAATCGAAGACTCCGATCAAACTCATATTTACTTTTAAGGCTTCAATTTTTAATGATTGAGGTTGTTTTTAGTTTTTAACAAACGTGCAAAGAGCAAAGGGTATGTATTCTTAGAGAAAAAAGCTTTTTTTAAAACATAGAATATGTTTCATTGTTAAATAAAAGTTGTGCCTTTCTGCTTTTGCACTCCATGAAAGTGATTAAAACTTTGCTTGAATACATTTTAGATTATTGGAGGTTTAAAGTGCTCAACATGTTTGATAGTCTTATTGCCTTGACCCAGTCAAACTCCTAATAGTTGGTTGCTGTAATCTAATGATGGATATTATGATTTATATATATACACATATATATATAAATACTTTTTATTTTTAAGCTGTTTGGTGAGCCATATTGTTCAGAAATTTTGCAGCTTTATTTTATCGATCTCAAACAGTTAACACAAAACCACGCAATGTTTTCTATTTTGTTCTTCTGGAAAGATCTCTCTAGTTTTTAGCACGCCTGAAAAAGGACTGCTGTGGTTCAAATGTTCCTTTGCTGTTTCTTCTGCCAAAGTTTGACTAAGTCATTGCTTCACAGATTCCAGGATGTTGATCTAGATATTAACATAATTAGTAGGAATTATCATTTGAATTTTTCATAGTTTATTTTGTTGCTGTTACGCTGCTTTCTTAGCCCAACTTCTTTGAACAAAATGAAAACTAAAGCTTGTTTTGTTAGCAGAGCTTCACATTTTTACTCAGCAGTTGTGCTTATTCAAAACTTGTTCCTCTGGGGACTAGATTTTGTTAAGCATTGAATGGGATAAATGGTGATGTATATTAATTTATGGAGTTTCAGTGCTCTCTAGCACTGACTGTCCTGAGCCCAGAAAACACTTTTAATCCCTCAGATGACTGTATTTTCTAATGACATGAACACAAAATTCTTTTTTTAAGCCAATCTGTTGATGTTGACATTTTGATCAGATATTAAATGAATTATTATGAGTATTATATAGATAGTTTTGCTTCATATTGTTTCTTTGGGGACAGTAGTCTTGCTGGGTTTTAGACACTTTAAATTTTGATTTCCTCTTTGTGCTTTTTAGATATTTTTACTACTACTTGATGAACACACTGAGTGCCAACAGTTAAGGTATCACCGGCTTAGTTTGGCAAACAAAAAGATCTTTAATAAGCTTCTGATGTCAAAAACGAAAGATATTTTAAAACAATACTTGGAGATTGAATAATATTTGTCATGCATTAAATTTGAATGTTTGTTGGAATGGGTGTATGGAAATAATAAAAATAGTACTTGAATGTTTTATCTTGATTGATTCTATTTTATTGCTACTATCTGTCAGAAGAGCAACACTAAAAAATATTGTGTTTTGCAGTCTGGTATAAGCAAAGCATTTCATGGCAGTGTAAATCAAATTATTTGTTCACTTGAAAAATGTAATATCTCTATTGTAAAAAAAATGAAAGCATTTATATTCAAGAAAGGCAGAAAGTTTTTGTATACAATATTAACTAATATTAATTGGATTTTATTTTGTGTCCCAATGCAAAGTAGTGTAAAATTGCACTAATCTCAAGTCATTCTGAGGCTCTAACTGGTTGTCTTACACAAATATCCTTTATTCTCCCTGCTTTTTACTCTCATCTGAACAGAGTACATTTCTTCACACTGTTGCTTTTTCCCCTGACATGTTCGGCCAACATGACTTATTTTGGTTTCTGAAATATTTTTTGCTTTAATTTTGCCACATTACCATAAATATCTGATTTATTTGAGTTATCTCAGCTGCAGATTTTTCAGCCTGAGCTGCACATCCAAGCAGCTCCTCCAGAGTTACCATGGGCCCCTTTGCATCTTTTGCTGCCATTTCAAGCAGCAAAAGATGCTTAAAATGGCATCTTTTGGAGATTGCAGTTTATTATTATTTAATTTGATTATTCCAAATATTAGAATGATTACTTATTTAGTATCATCTCATTGAAGGGGGCAGAACACAAAATCATGCCATACGTTTCATAAAAGAAAAACTTTGATGTTCACAATTGTCTTTCCAGTTCATAATTTTGTATTACCTTGAGTTGATCTATAAACAAAACGGATTCAGACTAAATATGGGTGAGTTGAGGTGAGTAGTGCTTGTCTTATTTTATTGAATATTAAGATCAATGGCACTATTGGAATCATGTTATTTTTCCTTTCCCATCATAAAAATGGGCTTTTATGTGGTACTGATAAAAATGGTGAAAATATATTTTTGTCAAGATGACTTTTACTGATTCTTTTAATTTTAAATAGAACAATTAAGATTAACCTAAAACATTTTTGTTTGTTGTTAAATTGTTGCCCTTGCCACATCTGCATTTTTTTTGAGAAGTGCAGTGCCCCATAGTGAACAGCAGGAGGAGTTGCTCCCCTGGTTTTCACTGGTCTTCCCCAGTTGATACAGTATGTAAATGACCAAGACTCATTTTTGATTGGCACTCTAAAATGGATCCTTCAGCCCAACACAGCATGGAGGCTGCATGTTCCTTTGTCTGTGTGACGATGCCATGAATGAGACGAAGAAAAACAAAAAATATATGTAACTGTTCAGTCTCACCACAATCTGGTTCCTCTTCTCCCAACCTCTGTTCAGCTCCTTACTGTGTTAGCTTTCTCCTCACATCGTTATCTCTCATTTCTTTTGTTTGATGTCGGCGCTCTTTGTGCTCTGGTTCTTTCGGCTCCTTCAGGAATTTCTTTTTGCAACATTTCTCAATCACATGGTTTTTACAAATATGGACTCCTGGGAGTTCCTGTGACTATTTCTCCATGTTCAGTAGAAGCTCAAATACACATCATCCTCCATCCTTTTTATTTGGACAAATAAACAAAATGGGAATCCTAATAACTGAGAACTTAAGGTTCATTTCACAGCTTTAGATTCACACACATCCAATCTCCATAGTGTTGTGATCAATTAACTTATCATATTACTGTATCATATCACATTTGCATTATGAAGCATCTAAATAAGCATATTGATAATTGCCTGTTTTTGGATTAATTTAGTTCACCTGGTTGTTGGTTGTGCTTGTAAAAGCATGAAGCATTGGACCCAGAACTGCTTCAGTTACTCACACTATGTTTACAACTAGATAAAAGAAACATTCCTTTGGACCATTTCTGCATGAAATCATCACAGTTTTTTTTTTTTCTGCCATCAATAATGTGAATCTCTTGTTTTAAGGGGTTATATTGGATTGAGATCCAATAAGCAGGCTATTGGAGTCCAGTTAACTTCGTGGCTACCACGAGTTAAACTCACTGCGGTCTTCTGATATTCCCTATAATTTGCTTTTTGCCAGGGGTTACTTTAGCTTGTATGGCCTTTTTATGTTGTCAGACTAGTCTGTCCATTCTCTTGTGACCTCTGACATTGTCAACACAGCTGACGTTCACTGAAAATGCTCCCTTTTGGACATTTCTCTGCTAGCCAGACGTAGTTTTGGATGAAGATCCCCGTAGATTAGCAGTTTCTGAAATACTCACACCAGCCAGTTTGCCTCCATTGACCATCTGGCCTTCAGAGTCTAATGGGACTTGATTTCTCATTGTCATACTTGTTACTTTTCCCAAGAAATAAGAATGTCTGTTGTGTGGTAAAGTAGAGGTCACTTCTGCAACCTCAACTTGGCCCTTTCAATGTTTGTTGTAATTAAAGACAGTTTTTGATACTTGGAACATATGCAGTACGGTTATTTCTGTGTACAACTTTGAGTTTTGTCAGTTTTTCAGCTCCAGGTTGCCTTTAATTACCTCAAACTTAGAGGTTTCTGCTCTTGATTTTTGCTGACCAGTCATTTTGTGACTGTTTTTTTTTTTTTTTTTTCCTTTCAACTCAAACTTGTTTGTGTCTACAAAATTACTTAATTACAAGGGGTCAAGAAAGTTTGACTTGAACTTAAAAATGTTTCCAGGTCAGTTTCAGTATAATTTGTCTGCTCTGTAAAGAGCCATTGCTAAATTATTGTGTTGGCGTCTCTCCTGAAGCACCTCGCTTGTTGCTGTTTGTTGGTTTGGCAGTTGAATATTATTGGATGTCCACCTGACCTCATTGTAAGTGAGTTGCCATGGGCGACCAGCATGAAGACGGCAAAGAAGAGGGAGGGGGGTGAGGGTTGGTAGGGAGTGTTGCATTATGGGAAAGAAACCTGACCTCTCCCTTTTTTTTCATAATTTTTTTACTTGGAGGACGCCCACGTGCACAAATACAACCATACACACACACACACGCACACACACACCCCCACACACACACACACACTCACACTTTGTCTAAACACAGATGCATTAAAGTAGACAAGAAGCAGTGTTTCAAACCTGGTTATTGTGTCTCAGGTTCTTGTTTGTACTCAAATGTAAAGAGGAAAGAAAATACAAATATGCTAACATTTTCCACACACTGGATTCTACTGTTACAAACACAAACTATACAAAGAAAAAAGTATGTTGCAGAAAAAACATGTGGCATAAAAGAAACAAGAAACGTCCATTTCATGAGTCACTGAAAGCAGAATAAAGGAGCAAAACAGCCATGTTCAGCACAAAATAGAAACATGGATAAAAATGTTTTAATAATCTTAACTGCTTAAGAAGGCACACTGTCTTGCTTTGAGCACCTTTTGATTCATTTACAGAAGTTGTCATTTCAATTTCATACCAGTCATCAATTATAGTAAATCGGATTGACCTTTAAAAAGTTCAGTTTTCTTAGTAGGATTTTCTTGACATTTGCCAAATGCCTCTGTTTGCAGAAACCCAGCATTGTATCTAGACCTTGGCACAGTGAAGATAGCCATCAGTACTTATCCAAAATGTATCAAAAATGACATTAGAAAACCTGGATGCTTCTCTGGATGTGTCAAAAAGTTGAGACACAAGTCACACATCAAAGGACAGCTTCCAACAGCTTCTGGTTGTGATCAGTGGGTAGGTTTGATTCCAACTGGCCCCTGTTGAATGTCGGTGTGCCCCTGTGCAAGGCACTTAACTCCAAACTTTGTACTGATCTGTGCATGAATGTTTGTGTGTTAGTGAGTGTGGCTGTGGCAGTAGTGCAAAGCGCTTTGAATGGTCAGAATGACTGGAAAAGCACTTTATAAAATCAGTCTGTTTACCATTTTGTTTTTAGTGCATCGGTGCACCAAAATCAATATCAACAACATGGCTTCAACAAAAGATAACGTTTTCAGGCGGCCCAGCAAACATCTTGAATTAAATTTCTTGAATAGGGTTCAGGGTAAGAGACGTCTTCACAATTTGACAGTTTTTTACTTTTAAATTTTGAAAGGTTGAAAGAGAAATATGCTAAAAATTATCCACACCAAGCAAAGGATTATTGATGTTCTTTTTTCTTTTGCAGGCAGTGAAAAGAGAAACAATTTTAAAACATCTTTCTTGTGCAGTGAGAAAGTTCAAATTATTGCCACATTTAGCCTTTGGTGCTGTTCTGTGGTTTAAAGATCCCTGTTTAACTAAACAGCCCAAGAGCTCAGTTCAAAATTCATGGTAGTCAGTTTAACAGTAGCTCCATTTTAAAATCGCATCACTAATAATAGGGAATTATATTACTGTGATAAACAAAACCAATAATCATTCATTTCTGTGCCTACCTGATGGAAAAAGGCTGAATGCTAAATGAGTCAATGGTGTACTTATTTACAATTTGCAGCTTTCTTTGTTTCATTTCTTCCCCTCCTATCAGATTTTTGTTTGTTTGTATGATCTTGCATGACTGAATACAGGATGTAGAAATAAATTATTTCATAGTCACATGTTTTACATCAAAACTGCCATTTTAACAAGATGCTGTTTCCTTTGGAGATTTGCAAAGCTGTGCTCCTAAAATCCGTTTCTCTCACGTTTTGTATACTCATTTAGTTTATTGTGTTCATGTCTATTTTTACTTTTATATGTAGTTCAAATATTTTCTCATAGTTTGTTCATATATGAATGTCTGTCTATATATATTTTCGCATCTTTTTTAAATTTTATGTGATTGCATGAGTTATTTTGTGCAATAGGAACATGCTGGAGTTTCATTAAATATCTATTCCTACTGAGAGAGAACTTTTGTGTGTGGGTGTGCACATGTGGTTTCGTACTCTCTCGTGTGTCGATTTATGCCGGTCGTCTATAATTTTATTCGACTGTGTTTGTGCTCATCCAGTATACAGTAAAACACACATAGTGCCTTCATCTCTGACATAACTGGTTACCATGCATACAGTGCAACTGTGACTATTATGGGGTGTTCTTTGT